TATCATTTTGTTCAAAATAAATTCTTCGATTGATTTTGATCATTTTGTATAATAAAGATCAGACTTTACTCTAGTAATAAGAAATATGTAGACAAACATTTGCTAATCATTGAATTTTTTCATTTCGATTTTATAAAACATTTTATTCTTTCTTATTTGAATGCGATTCGTTTAGAAGAAATCTTGAAAAAGAAACAGCTTTAATATGAATTTAATTGATTATAATTAAGCAATAAAGCTAAGCTTTCATTTTGTAATGATTATTATAATGAAAACGTTCAGATGGCTTGAAACATAAAAAGAAAATAAAAGACATTTTAATTGATGAAAGATTATATATGCATAAAGTTTAGCTGGTTTTTTCTTGAACAAATTACTTTAATATATATTCATTTTTTAAATCTGCTTCAATGATTTTTTTTTTTAAAACAAACATTGCATTTAAACGTATACTCGTTTACATATCTTGTTGAATTTTAAGAAGTGCTATTAGCATATGAGGCGAATAAAAGAAGCAAAAAAAAAACATGAACAATTATCGTTTGCATATAAGATCGCAGGTTTTATGTTGATTTTTCTCTTTTTTTTTCATTGTCAAATATATTTGTCTATAGGCTTAGTGTAGGAAGAAAAAAGAAGAAGGAAATCAACAATTCTTTTGTTCATCATCAAATGTGACACGTACAATTTTTAACTGATGTCGTTGTCGCGTCATATAGACATTGAATAAATAGCTCGTATTAACACGAACTGAATTGTTGATGATGATTATAGGTATATTTTATTGAAAAAATAGCCGCTTTTTATCTTTTCCTTCTCTTTTGTCTAGATGACACGATGGCTTAATCAAAAAGTATTATCATCCCTATGAATAATAATGTATTTATTGTACTATTCTATTCTTTTGCGAAACGTGATGTTCAATCTTTTGTTAAGTTTTATTTATTACATGAATTACCAATTCAAACAATAGCAATTGGTAAATGATCCGATTCTTTTTCAATAACATTCATCATTCAGACAGACGATATATTGTCTGCACTATAAACTTGGTCTTACAAACGATTCACATAGACATATATATATGTGTGTGTGGTAAAAGGTCATTGAAAAACTTCAAATAGTAATAGTAGTTTGTATATTAAATGGTGAAGTTATTTATTAAGTTTGATTATTCAATAATATCAAAAATAAAAAGACAAATAAGTAATTTGCGTTTTTTTTTTCATTGAAATAGTAAACATAAAAAGAGAGTGAATCACTCAAGTGTGAACTACAACCGCTGATTGAAAAAAGATGTTTTTGGTTCATTCACTAGAGAAAAAAAAGAATTTGTCCTTGACTTGACTTTTTTGTTTTTGTGGAGAATAAATTTACAAGCAAAGTTTATTTTTCTATAGGTTACGGGAGAAAAAATAAAATAAGCGTCATTAAATGAAGATAATTATCTCTCATTAGATGCGCGTGAGTGACACTCATTTTCAAATAATGATGACAAAAACAGACATGCGATAAAATATAGTGTTAGATCATCGTTATCAAGCGGTATTTTTTATTCTGTTTAATAGTTTGTTTTATTATTATATTTTTTGTATCAAAACAAAAATAAATAATAAAAAATATTATTTGATGTTTATGTCAAAATCGTATTAAGTGAATGTGAAAGGGCACATTGCAATAGTACCTATAAACCTTATAAAGAATAAGAAAAAAGTTGTTTATGCATATGCGTTTGCAAACACTCATGCTCTCCTTTCTATCTTTCTCTCTCTGTCTTTTTCTTTCTTTATTTTTCTTATTCGTTCGCATTACTTTTTTATGTATCAAATGAAGAAAAACCAAAACCTGTATTGAAGTGTATTTCTTATTAATGCAGACAAAAAACAATAACGACCTGAATCGATGTGTATTGACTATGTTTTTTTACATCAAAACATTCCACGTTATTTGATGTATTTATGTGCGTATTGTATTTGATTTATAGCCAATCTATACTAAATTTTAAAAGACCTAGTGGCCTTTACTCTTCATACTATAATTACAGCAAGTGTCGTATTACATTTATTGACGGATAAACGCCAGACAACCTTGATATTATATGAATATATTTCTCTTTCTCTTTTGTCTATGTTATCATAAGCCCGTTTAGTAAAAGTCATGAAGTGATTGTAGTCAAAAGATATCTTATTTTGTCATACTTACATGATATCAAAAGACAATAACTTAATTATATGATCATTTATGATTTTGTTTAAAAAGAGAGTTAGCATATATATGTTTACTAATTGAAATTAATTTTTAAAAGATTTTATATCAATTTTTGATTGTAACATGATAATGAAATTTTATGATTTTCTATAAACTTTTTTAAATTGATAAAGGAAACAAAAGATGAAAGGATCAAAATATTATCAAACTATTCTTTCGTTCTCTCTTTCTCTCTTTCTCTCGTTTTTTTTTTCTTTTTGTTCCGTTAATATCCATCTGTTACTTTTATTTTCTTTATGTAAATGACCATTTTCCATCTGTCGATAAGTTTTTCAATATCGGTCAAGGTTAAAAAGGACAATCAAAGTGTCTTCAATATATTTTCTTTTATTCTAGAAAAAGAAAAAGAAAAAGAAAAGAATTGTATCATCATCCCGGTAAATATGATAAATTATCGACGGTCATTTTTATCAAATTTAATAAATACATTTTTGTTATATATTGTATTTTGTTCACAATTAATTCATAGTCAAATGACTGCAATAATTACATATGAATATTATTCTTTATCATCAAATTATTTAAATCTAACATACGAAAATAAAACCAATGGTGTTGTCTCATCAAAAGGTAGTCAAATGCAAGTTCAAAAAGGACCAGCATTTACAATAGTAGATTCATACGGAAAATATGATGGCTGTCAACAAGCAATTAATACTTTAAATTATTCTAATGGTATTGCTATTATACAACGTGGTGGAAATTGTACATTTAGTGTTAAAATTACACGTGCAAAACAATATGGTGCTGCAGGTAATTTATGTATAGGTTGTAGTAGTAGATATAATGTAGTATCGAGTGTGAAAAATAATTTTCTATTTCAATTGATAAGATTGAGAGTTATCCGATAAAGATTAATTTGTCCGCAGGGCTGTCAATACTGGGGATAGGGAACGTGATGATTTAGAAGACTAGAAGAAAATTTGTGCTTAAGTTAACCGAATTTAGAAGAAGAGTTGCGTATTGCTTTGGCAATCGGTATGCACAAAAAATGAGGTTTTTTTTTCAAGATTGGGAGATCATTCGTTCAGACCATCCTTGCATGTTTAATATCATTAGCTAATTTTATACGAAAACTAAATATTATTAGAGAAACTGCCTTAGATTATTGATGATGACACATATGAGGTAAAATTAAACATAATTTGTAAATAATTTTAATTTAGAATAATTGAAAAAATTGTAAGCGTGGGTTCTTATGAGATTAAAGTATGAAATACGATGTACTTGCACTTAATTATCATAGAAAGATTGTTTTATTTGATCTATTTTGAGACATATTTCTTCAGCATCCTTTTACTTAATCCTCGTAAAATGCACTAAGGAAGTTGTTAATGCATTAGAACGAGACATTATTGTGAAATCGTCTGTAATTTATAATTGTCTCTGAATAGCGTCTGTGCAAGATTCAAAATTTTATCTCTATATATATTTCAATACTCGTTCCAAATTGTGTTTCACAAAAGATGAAAGCAGAGACGTGTTTCTTAAATCTACGTCATTTAATAAAAATTATGTTTAAACTTGTAATTTATTTTATGCATTAATATGATCATATTGTAATTAGTAAGAATGGATAACGAAGAAAAAAAAAGAAGGTTTATAATTAATATCAAGAAAGATAACGAGGCGGATTGAGCAAATGTTGAAAGAGAGACAACAGATTAAAATAAGTTATTGACAATTTTCGTGATAATTTTTCTATTATTAACTGTTCAAATTTATATTGGGATATATGAGAATAGAAACAAATCATACAAGAATTTTTAATTTTCTGAGAAGTTGTTGATGACTTGTTCGATATTAATTTATGAAATATGTATACATTACAGCTAGTTCATGTAGATGATTTTTACCAATGGTATTTTGAAAATATGATTTGCTAAAAAACTTCACTCGCTTGCGATTGTTGTCAACAGTGATGTTGCATAAAATGTGAATTATGTAGATCTTTTCTACTAAACCTCATACTTATTAATCATCGACAAAACAAGTACAAATGAATTATAAACATGACTATTAGTGATTTTCTATGTAGAGCATATATAAATTTTTATCCTTCTCTAGAACCCGTTCATTTCACAATGCAAGCAATTTAAACTCAAAAATAATAAGAAATGCACACTATTTACATCTGTAAATCTCATAGAAATACAGATATGTTTAGGGTACAGTATACATAAGTTTCAAAGGAGAGGCGGGGAGGGGGGGAGCGGCGGTCGCCTCCTCGTTGAATCTGCCACTGAAAAAATTATAAATTACTGATAAACAGATAATACAATTGAAGAGTACAGTTGTATGAAAATCCGTTTGTTTACACACCATGTTAGAGTTTCTGAGTGTTTCCTTCGATCAAAGGCCAAGGGACGATTTTTAACATCACGCATTTCTTGTAATAGAATAATTACTTTCCTGTGTAGGATTTTAATACTAAAAAAATTACTATGTTCATTTCCTTGTTCATAACAGCACGTTGAAACATCATTTTGTTGTCAGACGTAGAAGAAATGAAAATAAATATATACTACTTTATGAAGAAAACAACAAGTATGTGCTATGTCTTAGTAATGCTACGAAAATTAGAATTTATTATTCAATAGTTTGTTGTTTTATGTTGAATTTAAAATGAGTTCTATCTTGGACATATATTTATTAAAAATAGAAAGTCATTGATATGTTGTTAATGTAGTGTTAATATGACTTCTTAATTTAAATGGTATTTAGTAAAAAAAAAATACCTTTTTCTTTATTCATTTTATGATACTATAATGTAGAGCTTTAAGATGAGGTTTTATTGCTTTATGATAGATTTTTCAGAAGAAATTAATTTGAATTTCATGTTTAATAAAAATGTAGTATGTTTATTAGTTAAAAATGTTACTTACCAAATTGACGATCGAATTCGTTGATCATCTATATTCAACTGTAGTAATCTTACGAGAGAAGTCCTCCAATTGATTAATCGCTTTTGAATCAAGATAATATGTATCATGTAGACCCAAATGAGTTTTGAGTAGCATCAAATTTGCCGTTATATAGGAGCGATGTCAATGACGCGTTTTTGCTATAGTCGTGTCCTAAGATAAAAACAATGACAAAAAATCATTCTCGTTAAGGCCCGTCTCTGTGCAAGGTTTTGGATCAAAATTTGCGAATCAATTTTCTTGATATTCCAGAGAAGAACCACGGCATTCATTGGAAAAATACCATAAAACTGCAGCACCTTGGTATTAATAAACTTAAGGGTCTAAACTATTTTCAAGATAGTCATAGCTTATTTTGCTATGTATAGTGTACGTAGTCTCCACTCAAAAGTTATTTCTCAGTTAGGAGACTTCTCTCGTTAATGTATTACTTAATGTATAGTTCACAGTACAAATTTCAGCTCAAAATATTGAGCTGTTCTAGATATATCATGAAATACAGGATCAAACAGCATGCCTTCGTATTTTAAGGATTTCTCCTCCAATTCTAAAGCTATAGATTTCGGATTTATGTCAAAATGTAGCTTACATCTGTCGGTATAATCTAGCAAGGCTTGATTTTTCATGATTTTGTTGGCTTACTTCAGATGAAAGTTTACCTTCAAAATTTTGAAAAACTAAAGGTACTCTTACCAACAGAAAAACTCAGATTTTTCGAGAAGTAAGTCAAAAATGAAAAATTCGGCTCTATAAAATTGTAGAGTGTAGTTTTCTCTTCAATTTAAGACATTCACGAGTTTTCTAGCGCATAAAACAGCCGAGAAATCTTTGAAAAACGAACAGTTAAAAACAAAAAAAATCATTTCGATAAAAGCGCTTAATAAGTTTTGAGTTTCAAAAAATCGATGTTTGTTTTCTTCATAAACCATATAGGAAAATCATTTACAATACGTTCGAAAATGTATGACCCAGATGTGGAGGACATGTTGGTCATATTCTTTGTTGTCAGAACCCTATAGAAGTGCTTAAAGTATATGAATTTTTCATTAAGAGGTTTTTAGAGAACTTCTCTGTTAGATTCTCTGTAAAATTATCAAAAACCATGATAAAATCGACAAATTGTAATGCGTTCGAGAGTAAAAATTTAGGGTTATTCAATCGTATATAAAGCTTCAACATCGATATTTTTGACAAAAATGAGATTTTCTGAGTAAATGAGAGGAAGGTCTTAAAATTAATAGAACTCCAAATTTCTCTTGTTTCCTGTATGACTGTCTAATATGAAGAAGTCCTCTTCATCCAATAAACTCGTAACGTTTTAAGACATAATAGTAAAGCATATAATGAAATACTGAGATATAAGATGATAAAAGAAAGGTTTCACGAAAATGCATTTTTGATATTTCTTTTTTTATTTTAGCTGTTATCGTTTACGATCCTCAAACCAATTCTCAAGATACATTTGATATTATACAAAATAATTCAGATATACTATGTTTATATGTTCAACGATCAATTGGTTCTTTATTATTTCAATTAGCTAATGACAGTCGAACACATTTAAATATAACATTAGAACCAATAAATGCTAATTATGATGATTCAAACCAAGGTGATTTATGGTATGGTTCTCGAGGAGCAATTATATTTATTATTGTATCAACTTGTGTACTTATTTGTTCATGTTTTTCATGGTTTATTTTCTATTGTTTTCAACAAAATCGTTCACGTACAACTAAAGATCGATTAGAAAATCGTTTAATCAATGCAGCTAAAAAAGCCTTAACTAAAATACCATTAGTAACTATAAATGAAAATCTTCAAGCAGAAGAATCATGCGTTGTATGCTTAGATACTATCAAAGAAGGTGATACTGTACGAGAATTAAGTAAGAAAAAAAAAATACAAAAAATATTTTATTTTATTTATAATAAAAACCAAAAACAAACCATTTCTTTTAGCTTGTCGTCATAGATTTCATCAACAATGTATTGATCCATGGTTAATTAATCATCGTCATTGTCCATTATGTAATCTTGATATACTTACTGCATATCGTATATCAATAGGAGGATCAAGTATTGATCGTACTTCAGTTGTATCAGAAAATCTAATGCCAATTAATTATACTTCACTTGTTACAACATCTCCAATGCCAACTATTGAACACAATAACGATGATGATGAACAACAACAAGAACAACAGCAAGTTATTAATCATATGCAGTCTCAACCAATTCCAACTATATCAGGTTTAATAAAAGATGATATGCATGGTGAAGAAAATCCATCTTTTCGAATAGATGACGAACAATAACATTTTTAAAATTCTATTTTTGTAACTTGCTTTTTTTTTATTTCACCATGACAAATAAACAACAATTTTCATTCTTTCAGTGATGAATTTTAAATAAATAAATAAATAAATAACTTAGCAACTAAAAAATATCAATTCTAATTTGAATTAGAATGAATTCACGTGAACTATCAAGTTTTAAACAATTAATAATACTTCATCCATTACTTAAAGATGAACAACGAGATCGTATTACAATTATGATTTCAGGAAAAAAATTTTTTGTACAAAATCGTCAAGTAAGAATTTATTTATTTTATTCGATTGATTGAATGATTAAATACAATTATTTTTATTGAATAAACGACGAATAATAATAAATTTCATCATTTTTTTTTTGTCAAATGCATTTAAATGACATATAATTCTTCACTAATATTTAGTCTACACTTTTTTCTACTAGCGCGTCTCCATCATGATCGTTTATGAACTAGTCAAATATAAAAAGGTGGCAAATATTAATCATAATAATGCTTATAGCAGTGTTTTATGTAGCACGGAGAACGTTAAGGTAGTGCATCTCTGAAGATTGGATTGGTCTTCTCAAAGTTTGTGGATATTGTACCACATATCAGAGATACACAAATACTAATTCTGAAATTCTTGGTTTTTTTTACCCATTACACGATAGTACATGAGACTATAAATTCTTGTACTATAGGTTTTTTTCATCCAGACAAGATGATACTTGTATCACAGCGCATGCGGATCATGAGTAGCAGTTTTAGCGACGCACGTATTTCAGAACCTGATCATACTCACTTTGTATTTAACGGTATTTGTGTGAATAGAAAACAAATTGAGATTGATTAAGAGTAGCTTCTGTAGTGAAAGAATGTGATTATAACGATGTCTGACTGTACTTCGAAAGATGTTTGGAATTTAGTGAATTCTCAAATTTTAAGTTTTTGAGAGTCATACTCATTCCAGAATATAATTTATGTTCGTATTTATGTAGCTCTAAATTTTTAGAGCCTTAAACGTGATCTCTCAGAGATATAATCTAAGGTGTCTTCAAAAAACGTTTTCAGCCTGATCGGACAACGTCAGACAGGAGCTGTAAGAGAGTTCAGTTCGACAATGCTAAAAAATCACCCGAAGTCGCGATTCCAGTTTTTTGAAACCGTCGAGCTGATTCTTATGGAAAATCAGGATTTTCTCGGAAAAAAAAGTTGTAAAAAATTTTTCCTCCAACGCATGTCTCGGTATTTTAGGTACTCTATCAATAGTAAAAATTGCATGTGAATCAGTTGTACCCTTTTCAAAAACTAGAAATGGTCAAAAAGAGATGGATATCCTTAACGGCTCAATGATCTAAAGTTGAAAATGTTATTCATGCTTTTAATAATTTAAATAAAATATGAATTATCTTTTTTTGTTTAGTTAAAAATTTTCCCTGAAACATTATTGGGTAATGAAGATAAACGACGTATGTTCTATGATAATAAATTACATTTATATAGATTTAATCGACATCCGTCTATATTTGAATCTATACTTTATTATTATTTAAATCCTGGAATTCTTATTCGGTAGATAAAATCTTATTTATTTCTTTTTCGAATTAACATTTCTTTTTTTCTTATTAGACCACCTCATATTGAACCTGAAATTTTCTATGATGAACTTCGTTTTTGGAATATAAATGAAAGCCTTATTGAGATATTTATCGAAGAAGACATGGTAAATCTACTTTTTGTCTTGTATTTATTTATTATCAATATTTTAATTTAATTTTTGTTTTCCCGAAAACAACATTAGATACATTTAGATAATATTCGTCTTTTACCAGCACAAAAATGGCGTTGTATTATTTGGAAAACTCTTATGTACCCAAAAAGTATTCATTTTCCATATAGTGAATTAGTAATAGGAACATGCATATTAACAACATTATTATCATGTATACCATTTATAGGAGAGTAAGTTCTTTACTTTTTAAATTTAGTTTAAAAAATTTGATTTTATTTAGAATTATACCGACAGTAACTGAATTAAATAAACTTCAAAGTATACTTGGTGTTGAACAAATATATTTTCCATTATATATACGTTCATTTTATATAATTGAAATTATTTCTATAGCAATATTTTCTATTGAATTAAATTTACGAATAATATCAGCACCAATATTTTCTTTGATTATTTATGATATAATTAATTTTCTAGATTTGGTAAAGTGTAAATTATTTGAACAATACAAATATTTGTTTTTATTTTTTTTTCAGATAATTATTTTATCTGGTTCAATTTGTTTAATTTGTTATCATTTACATAATATTCGTCATATAAATAATTTTCTTTCATTTTACTATTGGTTACTTATTTTAAAATCATTTCGTATTTATCGATTAACACGATATATGGTACATATAAGATTATTATATAAAGCAGTGGCTATTAGTTTAAATGAAGTTTGTTCACTAATTATTTCAGGTAAAATTTATTAAAGGAAAAGAAAAAAAAAGCAATTAAGATTTTTTTTTTGTTTTAGTAATATTCTGTATGTTATTATTTGGTACATTGATTTATATCATCGATAATTCAGAACCGGAATCAAATACAAGAAATATTCTTGGTAAGAATAAACATTTTTAGTTAGAAAAATAAAATTATATGCAGTCTGATGATATCACTGAAAAAAAATTACTTGATTTCAGTGTAGCATTGTATCAAATCCGGTTCTAGATTTGAAGAGTCCGCAGGATTAAAAAAACATCTGACTATTATTATGTTGGATTCTCCTATGAACACTTGCAAGGATATTGTTAAAGACTGTTCGTATATTTAAAAAAAAAAAGCTTTTTTAGCATTATTTGCCATATGCAAAAAAAATACAAACGATTAAGCTTGAATTATCTTAAAGAAAGAATTTTTTCTGTAGAAGAATAAATTGATACAGAAAAAGAAATTTCTGCATATTTTAGATGGATTTTGGCTTGCTTTTATTACATTAACTACGTTAGGCTATGGTGATATATATCCTCGTTCCGTAAGTAAAAACAAAGAAGCAAAAAAACAGTACATCTTTTTATCATTCTTTTTTCTCTTCTATTAGTTTGAAGCTCGAATAGCTGCTGGTCTATGTGCTTTAATAGGCATTATTATCTTTAGGTATAAAATAGACAAAACAAAAAACAATAGCATCATCATATATTTATTTCTCTTAGTATGCCTATAATGATTATCTTTGTTAAATATACAAGGTTAATGCAAAATAGATGGAAACAAAATCGAAATATTCATTATATATTATATCAACATAATTAGTATATCTTTTTGTTTTGATGACTTAGCAAATTTGTCAACATAAAAATCATGTCTAGTGTTATGTATATATTTATATATATATATATATATAACAAACATAAAAAAACATTTTATTTATATGTCTCTTTTTTTCTTTCTCATTTATTTGTAATAATAAATCAAAAGGGACGTTTCATATGAAACGCAAGTCTACGATACGGATTGACGACAGATTCAATGCAAGCGAAAATCAATCATTTGATCAAATCAGATTGCAAAACTTTTTTGTTGTATGCACTATTTAATGATTCTTTTGTGTATGCTTGTTAAAAGGCATACGAAAAAAGGAGACATATGCAAGTGAAGCGTGACCGTTGATGTGTAAAGATAATATATGTTTATGTATGTATGTGTGTCTAACACGCACGTTCACCTATTATCGAGGCAGTCAACGATTGTTTTAGTATAAAGAGCACCTCAACGAGGGATATATATCGGTCATCATTTAACCATTTAGTATTATTAGTATTATATATAGTCGTTTGTTTTCACTTTTAGATAATAATAATAAGGATAATTTCCTTTTTGAAGTGAACGAATTATGAATCAATTGCCGACATATAATAATGTCAATGATGGACTTGCATCTCGACGTTACTCAGGTTTTCCACTTAACTCAACATTAGTTAGTTCTTATACTCCCGATACAATTCGAAGTATTATTAGTCATGCTGCAGCTGGACAACCTTATTGTATGTAATTCATTTTCTTCATTTTTGTTTTCTTTTGTTTAACTTTTTATTTTAGCAACGGCTGTTTGGATTCGTATTAATCGAATTGGAATTCAAGTAAGTGCACAAGATCCTCAAATAGCTCGAACACGCATACCAGTCTTTATTCCAATTGGACTTGTACATGATATTTTTATGTTACCAAATATAAATAATGTTATTTGTATTGTTTATGATGAATTACAATCAAATATGAAAGGTGTTTTATTATATGTTGTTCATCCATCTGATGCACAATCATTACGTGATGATTTTCGTATTGTTAAACAAGCAAGTAATAATCAACAAGTTCCACCAGCACCATATTCAAGTCCATTCGATAGTCGTTTTTCGCAAGTAGGTGATATTCATCCATTAGGAAATAATCGTATGTATACTCCAACATCACCAAGTAAATCTCCAGTGTCAAATGAACTTTATCGAAATACAGTTAATATTCGACAATCATCACCAAGACGTATTATACATATTCGAGAAAATGAAACTAATTTAACACCAACAATACATGAACTTAGTTATACATCAACAAGAGGTAGTTTTAATAATGGAGAAGAAGATACTCATCGACGTCATAAAAGTCAAAAAAGAAGTCAAAAATCACATTCACCAACTAAACGTTCAAGTGATAGTGCAGTTAAACGAGAAAGAAAACATAGATCACGTTCACCTGAAAAACATGCTAGATCAAAATTACGTATTAGTAGTAGTAATCATGAAATATCATCAGAAGCAGTACAACAACAGCAACAACAACAACAACAACAATGGCTTATTCAACAACAACAACAATGGCTTCTACAACAACAACAAATGGCAACTTGGCAAGCTGCTCAACAAGCACCATCAGTTCCTATTGGTATTTATAATCGGTATGTAATATATATATTCGTAAAAATAACTTTAATTTGAATGATTTTTTTTTTCTTAGTTATGTTCCAAAAACTATTCCATTACCAACAGGTGAAACACTTAAGACAGCTATACCATCATCAAATGTCAATGGTGCAGCAACGAATGGTGCAGCTATGGCTTATATTGAACCACAGCAGACTGCCAATATCAAAGATACTCATAATTTACCATCTTTATCTACAGGCTCTCATCAACGCCAACCACAAAATCGTTCATCAACTAATGCACCATCACCTGCCTATGTACAATCGGCACATCACCATCACGGTCATCATCATCATCATCGATATCATGCTGATGATAATACAGCAGGATTATCAAAACCTGATTCAAATATATATGGTAATGTAACACAAACTTCTCGATCACGTCCAAAATATTCTGCATCAAAAGACCATAATAAAACACCAGATAATGATGAAGACACAAAACAATATTTAAAAATGTTAGTTGATGAAATGCAAGCAATGAAAATTGAAATGAATAAAATACGACAAACAGCTCTTGATGTACCAAAAGGACGTTCAGATTCATTACAAGGTGATTTAAAAGAAATGCGTGCTCATATTGATCGCATTCGTTCACGAATGGCTTTAACACCAAAAATTCCTGAAAACTAAAAGAAATTTTTTTTTCTTTATTTTGTTATTATTTGTGCTATTAACACAAATAATTCTTTTAATCTAGATTGAATAAATACTTTTTATCTATTTCATTGTCCTACTAAATATAAAAAGAATAACAAACTCAGCTGTGGAATTTTCAATTTTGACAAATACAATTGACAAGATAAATAACAATTGAATGAAAATTTACTTTTGAAAATATCAGTATAGGATTTCTTTTTATTTTATTTCAACATACTTGCTAACTTGAATAAGAGATACGATTAATATTCAGTTTAATTAACATATCAAATTTCTATCATATAGCCTCATATCATTCTGTAACAAGCTTATGTCTCATTTCTTTTTCTGATTCTTTAATACTTATCTCTATCATCAAAGAATCATCTAACCAATATATGACATTGATTCGGTTTCGTAAAAATAATATTCAAGTTGATTAAATATAACTGATATTTGATAACAACTGCTATCTGTGTTAAATATCAAATACATTTTGTCTTCTATGATTCGTTTGCCACGTATACTAGCCTTGTATTTATCTTTATCTTCATACAGAACGACAACCAAAATTAATTTGACAAGGTTTGTTTTCAGTTCGTTTTTGCGAATATTTTCACATTAATCACTGCACTCTTACTCTAATGCAGTGTTGTATGTGTAACGTACATCAATCGTTGTAAGAATGTGTTCTAAGTACAAATGCATCCTTTTTTATTTTGCTATGTTAAGCTACAGAAACAACCCATGTTGTCAATTTTTTCATCAAAGCTAACAGTTAACTACGGCTTATTAAAAAAAAAGCAAAGGTTCATTCCTTCTTTAAATGAAATTTTTAATAGTTTTTCTATTAAATTAATACTTTCTGTCTTGAAAAGATCGATTGCTACTCAAAAAGTCAATTTTGACATACATATATTTATTAGTAAAACTAAGAAACAGATAGATCATTATATTGTAAATGTATGATAAATTGAATGATTAAATATGAGTGTTTTATGATTATTTTGCTTATGTAAATAAAGGAATGCTTTTAGAAACAAAATTCGATTTTAAAGTGAAGTATTCAATGTAACTCATAAGACAAAAGATACAGAAAATAGAAAACTATTTTTTTTTTCTAAAGAATTTTATAACTTGAGAAAAATATTGAAAACATTCGAATATATTTTTATCCAACAGTAATATTGATAAATCATACATAATAAGAAGACTGAAAACTGTATATCATATTTAAAAATGAGATAGATAGATCAAATGACACAATGAAATGTTTAATATTACTCTCAAACGATTCTTTTCTTCTTGTCATCTGTATTTATCTAAGCAAATGGTATTAAAAAAAAAGGACTGAAAATAGTATCGAACATATATGCTGTCAACACTTTTTTAGCAGTTATAAGTGCATTATAATAACATATTACCACGTAAAACATTTTATTGACTTTTACTCATTGATATTTTATATTTTTGAAATACACAATCAAATTGTTATCTTTTTTCTTTTATTATTATCTCTTTTTTTGGTATAATAATATTAGTTAAATAAATTATATATAAATTATCTTTGTTAATTGCTTCTTTTATATGTTTTACTGCAAATAAAGTACATGGTAAAATAGTACTTCTTGTTCATCTTCATATTCACTTAAACATGATTTATCAATTGATACTATGGTAAGATTAATAGCTCGATCACATCTCATGTAAAAAAAATAGGGTAAAATCAGATTAAAATCATACACCTTTTCATCGATTTTTAATCAAAAATATCCCAAAAAATCGATTTTAATTGATGAAAATCAGCTAAAGATTTTTTTTATGCATTATGAACAGAAATAAATTAAAATCGTTTAAAAGGTTTATGATTTTAATCGATTTTAATCTGATTTTTTATCCCTAATCTTTTTACATGGGATGTATCAGGAAAATCGAATACTAATAAAATACAGAATTTTTTTCATTATTTTTCTTTTTTGAAAATGAAAATTCTTCAACAACAGAACGATTTATAGACGTTGAAGAAAATGTACGTGTTTGTAAAACAGTTCCTGATATTTCCATAGCTCTTTGGTATATTAATAATTCTTCATATGTCATATGCATATCACGATAAACACATGTCCTTTAAAAAATCAATCATTTAATTTCGGTAAATATATAAATAATGGTATAGCTAATGGTATACAATCTTTTTTTAATACTCAATAGACTTTTGTTTCAAATGTATATAAATGAAGTAACTGTTCGAATGAATTGACATTTTTTTTTTCATATTCTTTTATTAAACCATTTATTTTAATATAATCATCAGAATCATCCATATTTATGTCTTCTAGTAAATTACTTAAACGTTTTAGTATTCTATGATGATCTAATGGTTCATCAGAATGGAAATGATTAACACAAAATGAGCAAAATGTGATTATCACATAGCCTTTGAACTTGCAGCAACATTTTCATGATGAATCAGTTTCATTTCGACGAAGAAATAATAAACATATAGATTCTTTACCTAATGATGCCATATCATAAGCACTTTAATTTTGTGAATTAAGAAGTAATAATCGATAAAAACCTTGTTCAAGTAAAATTTTAACAATATCATCATGATCATTTGCAAAATCAACATGCGAGCATGTATTTGTACCATATGAAAATTCTTGTCGATTTGAATCACCATGAGAGTATTTTGGTAAAAGACTTCGAACTTGTTCTTCATTACCACCACAACATGCTTCATATGAAGGAATTATTGATTTCCAAGATATTAGAATGGGCGTAGAATGCTGAGATGAGATACTATCTGTATTATCCATATGTATTAAAAGAAATATGCCCATGAATGGAGAATAGTTATGCTTCAATACACAGCTAATCGCTTCTTTATATTTTATATAAATACCCAGACTTAAAATCTACAATAGTACACAAAAAGATACGATGATTGTATACGATACAATACAACTATATACGATTCAGAGATTCGATACTCGCTGAGATTCCCCGTTCCACTTCGTCGCGAGACTAGACAAGACGGTATTTTTCCCATCGAAGCGAGCATAAGTTGATTTTGAGACTCAGTGAGTCGACTCGCCTATTTACAATATAATTTTTGGTGAATAAATGGTAAATCTTTAACGATGTCTCTCGATTTTATGGTAACTTTTTAAGCGTTTCCATTGGTGATGAAGTTTAACTAATCGCGACCATAAATGAATATACATGCATATATATATATTCATCTATTCAGTCTAGTCGAGTGATTCCATTTATGTAATTCTCAGTGTGAATTTAGCAGTGCGTCTTGGTTATGAAATGATAGTTAATTCAATAACTTACGATATAAATTCAATTCTAGATACGTTTTATGTACTCCACAAACTCTTGTTCTTCTAATGGTGATATTATCGATGTTATACAGAAGACTTGTTCTGATTCTCACAATGTTGGTCATACGTTCTCAAATGGACTGTGAAAGTATTTATAATTTGCTTATACGTAAAGAAAGCTGCTGGAAGCAATTTGGATTTCCCGCTGTTATTGATGATAAAGGTGCTGTAGTTACAAAATTAGACAACTTGTCTCGTGTAGCAATTGCTATGTTACATATTCTTATAATTGTAACAGTATCTCACAAATGAGGAATCATAATTGTGGAAGTTTACTAATTAGGTCTTTAAAACATATCGAATACAACATCCCGATCATCTCTGAAACAAAAAGAAAATTTTCTTTCACTTTTAATCGTCCAGGATCGATTAAACTAAACGAAGAGGAACACAGAAAGGTAAAAGATCTTCTTGTAGAATGGATTTGTATGGATGCAAGACCAATCTTGGTTGTCGATGACAATGAATTTAGATGTATCGTTCTCAAACTCAATACAAACTCATTGAACCTTCATCATAACATGTTTTAACAGTATAATCAGACATTTGGTGTGATTCTTATTGACAAATTTCATATTTGGGAATTAGTGTTTGTTTCACAGATGAAAATTATCAATTCTTAGCTTATGAACTTTGTTGTTATCTTTATGTTGAAGACGATAAAAGTACTGACAACATTATTATTGTAAGCTTTAAATTTCATGACGTGAATTGTTTTACTTTTTTCTTTTAGGCAAATAAAAAAAGCACTTGAACCTTATGGTTTTACCTGTATATCACAACTAAATTTTGTTAATGACAGAGATTCAAATTTTATTAAAGCACTCCAACCGTATTCACCAATAAATCGTGTACGTCATAGGCTAAATAGTGTTATCAACTCATGTTTTTATCAAACGGGCAAAATTAAACGTAAAACCGATAATGATATTCCAAATGAAGCACTTGAATTAATTTATTCATCAGATTCTGACGATGATACTGATAATTATGATCGCTATGCTTTTGTAGTATCTTCATTTGGGTATGACTTAGCTGATGTCGACTTGATTGATATTTCGTCATCTGCAAATAATACTCTGAAATCAATTCCATTTTTTAAAACTCTGATGAAGTTTTTGAGAAAAAAGGTAAGAGTTAAACCACTTATTCAAATGCAGTTGCTAAAAGGTATGATAAAAAATGTAACGATCAGAACCAACTGAGTAAAAAAAAATTATATATTTACAGTTTTCAAAAAAAATATGTATTAGGAATTTTTCAAAAGAACCAAATGTTCGATACAGCAATATTCGAGGAGAGAATCGTTTGTGCTTTTTTTTTATATAACAGTGCATCCGTTTCTCGAATACTTTCCGATACTCAATGTATTATTGTTGTGATCTGAAAAAAGAAATAGTACGTCATTAATGTGCGCATTTTTTTCATAAACGATAGTATGGTTTTTATGGTTTTTTTTAGAGTGGATTGAATAAAATAATTCAGGATCCAGGTGGTGTTGCTGTACTGCAAGCAACAGCTGTTAGATGCTTATCAATGATTCAACTTCCTGAATCAATTAATCTTTCGTACAGACAAATAGAAAAAAGATTTTGGTCGATAGAAAAAAGGCTATCGTTCTGGATAAACTAATCATTTTACAACTTATTTTTCTTTTATGGCCATTCCAACATATTATTTTGATTATACAGAAGAACAGAGAAGCTACGTTACATCTTGTTACAATAGCTATTTTAACACTACGTGATACGTTTAATACACATAAGTCTTTAATAGAATGACAGTTAGAATTATTAAATGAATCCATCAATACAAGAGCTTGACGAAGATGAAGAAAATTTTAAAGGAGTACCGATATAATTTCAAATAGAGTAAATAATGAATTTTATATCAAATGAAAGCTCGTCGAAAATGGATTTCATTGGCACTAAATAATAAGAATTATGAAAATTTTCGTATGTTGAACTCAAAATTTATACAATTTTGTAGAATATAATCGTTATAATCTACTTTGAGTGAGTTGTAAGTCAAAGAAAAAGAGGAATTTTTTTTGGAAAAATTGAAGAAAGCATTGTTCTAGGGATCATAAGATGTAAATCTGATTCAGAAAATAAAATTGTCTTTTTGCGATCTGTTGTCTATTCTTCGTGGTAGCGATTAGTTAAAAAAAACGTTTTTATTTTTCTTCTATTAGAAAGTTATGGAAGAGAAAGATTTAAGTTGTTTGTCGAGTAATATATAAGGTCATTGTCTGATCGATATATTTCATAAACAAGAATCTATCCTTTTGGTGAATCAACGAAGTTTCATTACTTGAAAATGGCTTGTGTTTATGATACTGAACTGTAGAGTATGATTGACAGAATTAAATGCATTGCTTTTCGTGAAGCTTGCGATGGGGGTGCAACATTTATAAACAGACAATGGGTCTCGGGCCAAATTCACCACACGACTCGATTTGCCACAGAATGCTGGAAAAACCATATGACCAATGCTTTAATGATTATTCACATGCGGGTCCCAAGCTTAAATTATCACAAGCTAGTCAAGACATCATTTTTAAAGTAAGCGGTCGACAAAGAATAAGTTGTTGTGTTGTGGTGAAGAAGATTGCAGAAAAGCAAAAAGAATACGTTGCTCCAATAAAAATCAATAATTACCGACACAGAGGAGGATTAAAGCCATTACATATTATTCCAAAACTATTTCAATCGGAAGCTCATATATTCGATCAGTTATGGTTGTGATTGACTAAAAGATTGGGTTGATGAATTTTATGTTTGAATTATTCGTAGACCAACTTATCAGAATAACAGAGTTTGGGCAAGAAATGCGGAGATGTTGAAGAAGATGGAAGTTACTGAGAAATAGTTAAAAGTCAAGTATATACTGGAGTTTTCGTTATGTTTACTTCAAGAGATTACTTTGGGTGATTAAAGATAAAGGGTGAATCTTTGACTGATCAATATTTTTGTGACATAATTTTAATTCAAAACATATTTTCTTGCTTAAACAATGAAGAAAATAGTATTGATTCTAATGAAGTTATATTTGCCCATGATAAAGCATTGTGTATGCGAGCAATATACGACCCAGCATTTGCTTCAAGACAACGACGTTAAGTTTTGGGGTGATGATATCTCATCCAAAACTTCATCAAATCTCAATGCGGCAGAACGTATTGGATCAATAATCAAAAGATGAAGTTGAAAAAACAATGTTATCAAAAATTGGACATAATCGGTATTTTGAAGACACACTCAAAATGCACATTGCAAATGTTTTGACCGACATGGAAACAGATACGGAGTTATTTGAAACTTTTTTATGTTAGTATCCATCTCGCCTTCGTGCAGTAAAGAATGCTAATGATCATCACATTGATTATTGATTGTATTCATTAAACAATAAAAAAACATACTATTTTGTAGCAGATTTGTTCGGGACTTTGTCTCATGAATAGTTTGTCTCATACTTCATGCTGATAAAATATTATAAATTTTGAGAGTTCAACAGACGAAAGGTTTCATAACCCTTATTATTTAGTACTAATAAACTTCATTTTCGACGAACTTCCATTTGATATAAAATTCATTATTTACTCTATTTGAAATTATAGTGTTATTTCTCTGAAACAAAATTATTCCTGACCGTGTATTTAGATCATCTTATCCATTTAATAACTAAAGAAAAATGACTGACAGATTTTGTTTTCATAGTTCTGTATTGAAACAGGTTAATATTTTTTGAAGCCTGTTAAAACTGATAGAATATTATAATTTTCAATGCACTTTTATAATGCTGATGCGTCTGAACTGCAGAATTCAAATCAGCCCTAGTTATGAAATAAATCTTCGTGATATATGACGCAGCTAAAATTTCTATTAGTAAAGTATACTCCGAAGCTGTTTTCTTGTCGGTTAATTTGAACTATTAGAAGTTTCGGTATGAACCATTCTTCAATTGTTTATAGTTGAAGCCCAAAGTAGTAAACTCTACGGCCGGTAGCGTGAGTGAACATGCGACATATGTGACCCGAATGACACAGACTGTCACATCGATGTATCACTACTCATCATTCTTGACAGCTTGTATATAACTTTATGTGTGCAAAAATCAGAGAATACATTGTTTAGAATACTAACCAGTATATTGTACCCATTCATATTTCAGCGAAAGCGTTGCAATGTTCTATAAGAGTCGGACTCTCGTTGTTCAGCACCTTTCTTATTGCTAACGAACGGTGACATGATGTAATTAGATGTATGCGAACAAGAACTGGCAGCACCAATGATTGTGGAACATGGAACAATCGACAAAGAAAAATATATCAATGACGTTCTTCCAATAGCGTTGAAGTTTGGCAGCAAAGCGTTAGGAAACAACTAGACGTATCGGAGAGATGGTGCAAGATCTTACATCCATCACTTGAGTCAAAAATGTTGTGTTAATCATTTTTCTAAATTTCTTTCGAAGATTTATTGGCCACCAAATTCAAACAATTTATGTCCATTAGAATATATTTTATAGAATGATTAGCTGAAGTTATCTATCGGAACCATATGATAATAAAGGCAACATTAATAGAGAAAATAAAATCTTCAGTCAAAAAAAGTTGAAAATTAAGAAATTAAAATTTTGTATTTCCTTTGGCTGTAGGATTTTGTTTAACCCAAAAAATTGGATGAATCTATATTTTTATTAAATAAAGTATATCATTGGGTGCAGTCTCAAGCGCTATCTTTTGATAAAAACGTGTAGTAAGCAATGGGATAATAGAAGAGAAATTTCGAAAATAGTAACAATATAATTATTTATGCACTAATCGTTCTTTAGTTCCAATATATGTGTGAGTTCCACAAAACGTCGTAGAAAGTATGAAGAAGTCTCATTTGATAGAGAATTGTTTGCTCTATCATTATTATTAGTCCAAAGAAAATTATGTTAACGTGTTGTAAATACTGAAAAATCAAGGATTTAGTTTTTTGGAGACTTTATCTTTGGCAATTTTTATAATCAGTTTTATTTCCTTGTATCTTGCTTTCGAAATAATAATTACTATTTAAATTCTTTCTACAACTTAAGTCAACGAAAAAAATATTGAAAACAAACCTTGTTGAATAAATTTCTTTTTAAGTGAAATACAAAAGGAAGATTTAAATCATATAGGAGTATTTGTCAAATTTTTATTGACTAAAAACATATTCGTATTTACTTCATTGTGTCACATGACATATGTCAAAATAGAAATTTGATGCTCATATATGTTAAAAGTGAAATTCAGATTAATCTGTATTTTTACTATTAACGGAAAGAAACAATCAACAAGTAGAACGTTTAATTTCAAGAATTTCACGTTTAACATCTAGGAAAAAATAACTAAATGTATATTTATAGGAAAAAATTCTATGTCATACTTGCATCAACAACTTGAATGACTCGAGTATTGAATAAACCAGTTTTCGTTATAAATTCTTCAAATTGACGTACACCACCTTGAACACCAAAATAGTATACTTTAGCAGCAAGATATCTATTTAAACAATATAAAATGACATCGTATTTTTATCTTTTCATTAAAGAATCATCGAATCTTTCACTTAGAAAAACTTCTACTTACATAGTGCCTTCAGATTTTAGAGTATGATCGAATAATTTAACTAATTTTCTATAATTTCCACTATTATATATTGTTTCTGAAGTAAGAATAATATCATAACTTAAAAACAAAAAAGAGCCTCATACTTAATTCTTTTTTTTTCTTCGCTATATATACACTCACTATTTCGATGGTATAATATTTATTAAATCACCCCAGTCACCAAAAAACATACGATTATTATAATTTCCTTTTTCTCTCTTCAATTGTTTTCTTGTTTGTTCAACTACTTCACGATTCTGTACAAAATTAAAATCATGATGATTTCTTTTACACAAGTAGTAACTCACGAAATCTTGAAAATCAACATGAAATTGTTTATGTTTATTTAATTCCAATCCGGGTAGACCACTACCACAACCAACCTACATGAATATGAGCCAAAACAAAAATGAAAGTTTTTCTTGTCATCCTTATGTTTCTTACTTCTAAAACTGTTGTTGTATCTTGAAAATTGTTGATAATAGATTTTAGAAAATCAACTAAATCATGTGAACATTCCCAAGTTTTAAAACCACCTAAAAAGAATATTGTCGTATTTTTATACACAATGATATAATTTTTACCTTCATATATATTTGGTACAAGATCTGATCTGTATGAATCAAATTTTTTTCGATTATTTTCTTCATCTTCATTGGATTCATCTAAATGATTTCAGTCTTTTATTTGTAAAAATGATATGGAGTGAAAAACAAAGAATTATATGCATTATGTAAACTCTAATGAGCTATGAATACTCTGAAAAGAATTCGTATCTTTAGTTTATTGCTGTAGACATACTGCAATAAAACGGTCTTTTTTAAGTTTATACTGTGGTCGCTTCCTCCCCCTCAGGAAAACTCATTCTCAAAGTTCAACTTGAAAGTTTGTACAGAGACGAGCCTCAACAAGAATAGGTTATTGTGAAAGTTTCAGATCTTTTCATTGTTGCTAGTATTCCGAAGGAAGACCACAGCAATAAGTCAAGGACTCGAACTTTTTTCAGGATACTCATAATGCTGAAAAAAACATATACGAAATCAAGGTTTTTTTTAAATGTACAAATGCAATTAATTAGTTGTGACATTTTCCTCGTTAAATAAAAAAACCATCATCTAAAAAGTTGGTCATTTTGCAGTTTTCAGAATGAGAAAAATGCAAAATGATATAAATTAGACAAAAACTGGATATAACTTTTTATTAAGTGATTAGTTTTTATAGAAAATATTTTAGTTTTCATACTGGTAAATTGATATTTTGTTGCATTCAGATGTATAGAAGTATCGTTAGCTATCTGTTTGAAAAGAGTATGCTTTTTCTGATTAGAGATGATTTACAAATTATGAATTTCTTTGGCAATATTTTTATTTTTAAACTTCAAACAAAAGTTTCTCATTTCAAATGATCTCTACTTATCATTTTACATATTTAAATGATTTCAGTTTAATACATGTAATTGTGCTTCATGAAAAGCTAAAAGATTTTCTAAGAGTATTCTTTCATTCATTCAAAAAGAAACACAATTTTAATAACTTTCTAGGAGATTCTCGATCCAATTCGATGTTCTTATTTATCAAAACATAGTTTTCATCATTAAACACAATGAATCAAGAATCTTGCAAGCCACCACATTTGAATATGAAAAAAAAAAGATTTTTAAAAACATCTATCATTTTAACTTAAAGACATAAAATATACCAGATATATTTGCTTTATACAAGAAATTTATTATCAAATACTTAGTAAACAAAATTTCACAAGGTAAATTTCAATGTTCAAGGTTCTGTCAATTTAATTCTTTTGAACAATATATATATATAAATGTATAAAAATCAATTCAATAGATTTATTCTAAGAAATTTTAGATTTCTTTTTTTGTATACAGTCATACTTTGTAAATCATTTATATGAAAATAACCAAATTTTTGATTTGATAAACCAATATCATCTTCTTTCGTATTTGAATATTCATTGTTACTATTTTCATCAATATTAAAATTAAATTTAAACATATCTACAAACAAAAAGAAGAAAATTTAATTGTTATTTTATCGTTTAGTTATCATTATCATCAATAAATTTTCTTTTATATGAAAATAAATTTTTATCCCGTATAGGTTGATTAGCATCAAGTAATCTTCTATGATTACGATATTTTGGATCATTTTGATGTTCACTTAAATATTGATCAATACGAATTTTCAATTGTTGTGCAACAACTGGTTGTGTTATTTCAGTAAATGCTTCAAGTGTAAATGGATCACGTGGTACACGACACCAACGTATATCTTCATTAATACATTTTTCTAATGTTGTTCGATCAATAAGATTACCACTTGGTAATAACATTGGTATTAACATTAAATCATATGTTAATGAATCAAGAAATTCAGAAGGAATATCATTAATTTTGGTTGATGATGATTGAGAAGAATTTTTATCATTTGTTGATGATGATGATGATAATTCATGTGAATGAGGTGAAATAATTTGTTGAAGTTTTATTTTTAATTCATTTGGAATAGAATTTGATAAAATAGCCCAAATTTGAAGATATTTTAAAGCACATGAAGATAAACGCCATGCACGTTTTATTGTAATTTTAATTGTACTACAATTAATTAAATGTAAATATGATGAAAAACGATATTTTCTTGTATTATTAGTTGATTGTTCATTATCATGATCGTATATTTCAATACGTTGTGTTATTTCATCTTCATTTAAAATTTGTACAATTCGATGAAATGATATTTGTTCAACATTTAGAATATTTGATTTATTCATTGAATTTATTAACCAAGATGTTTTCTCATCGATTATTTGATGATTAACACTTATTTCAATTAATGTTGAACGATGATGTCCTATTGATGGACTAAGATAAATATGTTTTATATCAATATTAAAAGGAAATCGAATATAAATATCAATTGGTGGACGTTGTAATGGATCGATTAGAAAACCATTACTAATTAAAAAGTACATTATAGAAAATATTCGAACAGTACTAAGAATAAAAAAAACTAACACATTGATTTGTTCATACTAACACATAAATATTATTTAGTTTAGTTCAATTTAACTTTCGAATATAGTTCTTCTTTTGAGAAGAAATAGTTTCAATATTTTTTTCAATCAAAATTTTTTCAAAAAAAAAATGTTTCTATACATGTGTTAATATGAACAACTAAAATCTTTGCTTTTTCTTGTATGTAGTTTATCTATTTAATGAATATTTATTGAAGAAATACTTATGTGAAAAATCTTTGGCAAGATTTTCAGCATGATGACCATCAAGTTGCATTTGAGAACATTCAAAAATGGGTTGAAATTGAGATGTACAAACATTGATGAGCATTTTTTTTTTTTGAGAATTTCCACGTTATGAATATTATTATGACATTGATTTATAATCGTGTCGGTCTTCTTTCTTATTAGTTTAGACGATAAAGATTTTTGTCGGAAGATGTCACTTGTTTATTATTTGAAATATAGACTATTAGTTTGACGAGAAAAGTAGGGGCGTAACCAGAAAAAAAGCTGTAGAGGGGGCTCAGCCCCCCCCCCCTCTTCCCAGTTATATTTCGAGAGATTGACAAGGACCAGCAGATAATCCGACCTTCGAAACTCTGGGAGAACCGCGTGAATATTTTTCGTGAGATAGTATGTGTTTAAAGTAGTAATATATCTCGTTCAGTGTTTCTTATGTGTANTTCGACGCGCCTCGAAAAGCTCTACAACATGATATATTAGGTTGAGCAAAAAGTTCGCGGCCACTTGCAAAGATAAAAAATGTTTGCAAGTGACCGCGAACTTTTTGCTCAACATAGTATATACACAAACGTATTTACATGAATTATGAGAAAAAAATGGATTAGTAAGTTTTTATTATTTCTTTTTCAATTTAGTTTGTTTTTCATTTCAGATGTCATTGAAGATGTTAATTTATATCAAAGAATGACGAAGTCCAAAAAACTTGAAATATTAAAAATGTACGTTACATTTGAATGTTTTTATATAAACAATATTTCTCTTTTAGTCAAAGTGAATTTCAACAATTTTGCCATAAATCTCGAATGGCATTAATCGAAATAGCAGATGATAGTGGTATGTGTTAAAATATGTTTGATTATTATATTTACTATTTTATTTATAGATATCGATGATGATGAACGTGAACGTTTTTTATTTACTTTAAGTGCAAAAAATGTTGACGATTTCATTAATGGTAAATATTCCAACAAAAAGAAAGAAAAAATATTTCTTTATATGGTTTTGTATTTAGGTCGGCTTGCTTGTGAACCGAATAAAAAAAAGAACAGCATCATTTGAAGTCAAATGATTCATATGTGAATAATTGATGGTTATCAAGGTCAATGTTTTGTTATTATGGTGATATTCTTTATGCTTTAAAAGGTAAAATACATCAATCGTATTATTACATTTAAACATCTGCTTTTTTTTTGATTTCATTGATGTATGTTTTTTTTTCTGTTGTTTTCATTGATGCATTGTTGTTTTTCTTGATTTCATTGATACACAATATTTTGATGATTTCATTTATGCATAACATTTTGATGATTTCATTGTTGTATTATTTTTTAATGATTTCATTGATGTACTATTTTTTTGTCTTCATTGATATATTATTTTGTCTTCATTGATATTTTTTTTTGTTGTCTTCACTGATATATTATTTTTTTCTGTTGTCTTGATTGATATATTATTATTTTGTTGTCTTGATTGATGTATTATTTTTTTGTTGTCTTCATTCATTAGTTTTTTTTTCTGCTTTGATAATGATATGATAGTATGATTTTGTTCTTTAAAAAAGACAACAATATGAAGCAATAAACTTTCAAGATATATTATTTTTAGTCTAATCTTTAAAACAAAACAATCAATGTTGACTGAAAAATCTAATGTATAAATAGTTACACGGTGTATTCTAAATAGTTGAAAAGAATGAGACTCGATAAAATGAGATATAACTGAAGAACGTCCTTTCCACAATTGCCCGAAATGCATATTTTTTTTTTATAGTTACAAATTGTTCTAAAATCGAAATAGACTGACAAATAGATCATTCGATACTTTATCCATTATAGTCTTTAAACAATAAACTTAACTTATTTGAACTAATAAAATATTTTCAAAGGTTTACGTTGTGCAAATTCATCAAAGAATAGCGAAAGATGAACCGTTTATATCTATGTATATACGTATATAAAGAAAAAAATTTGCTTGTCTGTTTGTTCTTCATGCATTTGGACATGGTACGAGCAAATGCAACGAAACTTTCCAGGAACCATCCTCTCATCCAAAGGAATGTCAACGTCTACTTTTTGTTGAAAAAAAAGAAACCGGTCCTCCGCCTGCAAAAGGCCCGCTTCTGTGTCTGATCAATGAGATTGCAGCATTCGGTAGTATCGGAGAACTACTGAGCAGCACGTTGTGAACAAGCACAAGACATTTACCGAGGGATTTTCGAGGGTACTGAGTTCGAATCTGTGGCCCATTTACCTCGAAATCTGATTGATTGTTCGGAAACTAATAGGAATTCGGCTCCTAAGAAAACAGATAAAAACACTTATACTTTCGGGAAAATGATGGGGCAAGGGTTTTTCGACGTGACAAATTCAAATCTGGGGTCCGTTCACCTCGATAACTTAGTTATTAGTCCCCGAACCAACACTCCTTAAGTTTTCGAGTAAACGAATATCATTGAACGAGGACAAGCAGGATATCAGGTATCGGAAATCTGTCGAGCACAAAACCTTACTGGACGATCCCGTGGCTTAATTGGATGAGCCATGTCAAATACACATAGAGTTTTAGAGAAACTGACTCGTTAGAGATTATCTGCGGTGGGAATTTCGAATAAGTGGTGTGTTAGGTTCAAGATTTTGTTCGTCATAGATTTTAATGATTAAATTCTTAACAGAACTTCTGCACGAAGATCTTTTTATCTGTCTTTCTTTACCACCAATCAAGATTCAGTGTGTTTTCAGCAGTGCAAAACACGATGTACCGTCGTAACTCTCAAAATCAATAGATATTGTAAAACTAAAGTTCAAGACCAAGTAGATGTGTGGTCGTGTTGGGTTTTGATAGAAACGAAGTTTCCTTGCATGTTTGTCGGAAAATCGATTTTCCAAACGAATTTCCTCTAAATATAGAAGCAGACAACTACGGGATCGGGACTGAAACTCCGACCCGATAAGACAAAAGCCGATCGGGATCGGAACCTATTGAGATAAGTATGTGCTCCGAGATGCACTTGGAAATATAGAATGTCTATAAAATTGATATGAGCTATCAAGTTTTTCTCGATGTACACATATAACGATGAAGGATTCCTCACCTCGGAGCAATCTTTCAATGTTATTATTCTATATTCTTTGAGGGTGGGATCAGATGAGATCGAGACTCAGAATACGCCTGAGGATTTAGATCAAAATTGGCACTGGGGCAAAAATAGTAGTTATGAATATCTACTTCCTACCAATTATACTTTTCAGATCTTCTCAAGCACAATTAAGTATTGTTTGCATATATTAAGTGTGAACTTTCCCGGGCAACGCCGGGTACTTCTGCAAGTTAGTTTTATATTAAGTATTGGCAAATTATGTAACATTTAATATTGATCAACAACTATTGAAAGATACCGTTGAATTCGTTAATATTAATAATTAACGAGTCATATAACCATTTATAGTATGTTTAAATTTTTTTTCTAATCAGCCACAGCTACATTCACCCTAATTCATTGGATAAACAAAGTTAATTGTTCTATAGATATAAGATGAAAAATTTATGCACGAATGCTTGAAAATGTAACTTATAAAAAATGACTAACATTTGGGATGTAACCGGTATCTTTTAGATTTAATTTATCAAAATAAATAAATAAATAAATATATATATGTCCTAGGCAAAATTGAACTTTAGGCAAAATTAAACTTAGGCAAAATTGATTTATAGTTAGGTGCGAAAGGAAGAAATTATTTTCTTTCATTTGAAAATAAATTCAAGTTTTCATTTTGATTAAGAAAACAGAATGCATTTAGTCTTTTAATTAAATAAACTTATTTTGTTAATTTCTCACCGATTCATACTCTTTGGAAGTAACCCGACACCAGATTCTGCTTTGTCTCTAGTGCCTTTATCCACAGATTTGTAAACAAATCATAAAAATACTTCACGACAAGTACGATCAATAACGTGAAATAAATAGCAAACAAGACTTTATAACTAGTTGCATTATTTTTACATTAATATCTTAATATCCTACTGTGTGTGGTGAACTGTAGGATTGAGTATCGATGCCTTTTTAGCATAATGTCGTCTTGCACAATCAAAATTGTGTCTTCTCTTCATTAAATTCAACTAATCTAGAAATAGTCACACATGAAGGAACAAAAAAAAAGAAGGTCAGAAGTTCAGAAAGATGTCATACAAGCGAAGTATAATGGCTAATGACCGTTATCTTGGATAAGAGAAATACTTATCTAGCAGATTTGTGGCAACCTATAAGCGTCTTTACTACCCTCTGCTCGAAAAAAATCAGTAATGTGAATGGAATAGGTGATAAGGATGTAAATAGCTATGAAGATGCAGAAGTAGTTCTGCGAGATTGAATAGCCATTAGACACAATATCCGAAAACTAGAACTAAGCAACTACTGAAAATCATTCTCTTCGTTGTTACTCAAAGCTATTCATATGGGAAAATTGTATCTCTTTTGAAAATGAACTATTTTTAAAAACAGACAAACTAACATATTTATTGAGTATTAATTGCCGAGTGAATGACGTTGCTATTACATTATGAGAAGCATAAATTAAAGTCTTTCGTTAGTTTGTTGGATGCGATAGAACTCGGTTAAACATAATAACGTCATCTATATTGTTGGTATATTATCTATGAATCGTACTGTATTCGAAGGGAAGCAGTTAGGTATCGATGAGCATTGATGCCTGATTATAAAGAATATCCTTTCTTTTTTTTTCTTTTTTTTTTTGGTCGGGCTGGTTACGATCAGCTCAATGTCAGTAGAATATATTAGCGAACTCTACATCTTCCCAAGCTTAGTTTAATTTCTATTGAATATAACTCGCGCACTCTACATCTTCCTAAACTTAGATTAATTTGTATTTAATACAACTCGCGAACTCTACATCTTCCTAAACTTAGTTCAATTTGCATTGAATATAACTCGCGCACTCTACATCTTCCTGGTCTTCGTTCAATTTGCATGTAATACTACTCGCGAATTCTACATCTTCCTAGATTTAGTTGAATTTGTATGAAATACAACTTACGAACTCTATGTTCTGTCAAATTCGATAGTTACAAAAATAAACAAGTTTCCTTTAATTTTTTTTAAAAATTCTGTTGAAATAACAAGTCTTTCGAACTTAGTTTAATTTTGCCTAAATCTCAATTTTGCCTGACACATATGTATATTTGATTACTCACAAGTATAAAATCGATTACTAGCATCAACAATAGCCGTTTTTTATGCATTAGCTCCACTGGTAACCAAAATTTGTAATTCAGTTAAAATTTCATAAGCTTCATCTAATTGATTTTTCGATAATTTTTGCTAATGGCATTTTGGTTAAATTAATTTCAAATAATAAAAAAGCTTGTTTCATAGTTTCAACATTAAAAATCATTTTAACAAGATCTTGAACTGCATTTGGTAATTTTGATTGAATATCTAAATTTGCACTTTCAAGTAATTTTTGCATTTTCTCATTATCAGCATGCTGGCCATAATCAATTTCAAGAGGATAATGTTTATTTGGTAATTTTTGAAAATTTCCTCTTTTCGACCATTCATTACCTGTTTTATCAAGAAATAATGCATGAAATGCATTTATTGCATCTGTTTTTCGACTATAAATTGCACCTGTTCGACCCGCAAAGACACACAAAATATATTTATTAATAAATGTGGAAACCTCGGATTTATATCTGAGAGTTATGTGTACTTCAAAAAGTGAATTAGACAGATGAGTCATCCTAGAATGTGTGGACATCAAAATTATCCTCGGAAACCTTTTCCATAAACACATGAATTCTATTGGCTACTGTTCAACCAATAGGATTTAGGGGCGAATGCAGCTCAGATTTGAACTCTTCGCATTGAATTACCATAAGAAAGTCGTTTTTCCCATAACTTGATTTCTATTGGTCCCTGCTCAACCAATGATATTTCGAGGCAAGTGGAGTACAGATTCGAGTTCTCCATCCCAGAAAACCTCGAACTATCATCTCTGTGATCGGAAGATAGAGCTCTAATTGTGGATCAATTAGAGCGTGGACAAAAACAGAACCGAAATCCGTTTAATTATCTTTGCAATGGCTGAGTCGGCTTTCTTGTTTCCTTATGTTTTATATACCATTTTGTAGCTCGTGAAATTCTCTATCGAATGGTATATAATAGTTGGGGTTTTATTTGACTATGATAGGAAAAGTTTTTTACGAAAGCGGAGATAGGTCGATCTTCTCATAGGAAAGCATAGGGAAAAATGACTATTTTTGCCATAACTCAGCAATGGCTCGGCCAATCATTCTCATCTTCGAACTCGACCGAGATAGTGTTGAGACTAAACTGTGTAGAAAATTTCATCGCGATCGGACTCTCCTTTCAAAAGTTATCGAGTAAACGGACGGACACACTGACCGATTCTAGAGTGTACTCACTTTTTGAGTACACAAAAACAAAGAAAATACTTATCATGCTTTAAAGACAAATCATTGTTGACCATTATCAGATTCGAGTAATTGCATTTTATAATAAAAATTTGTTCCACGTATTATATAGACAAGACCAAGAACAGCAGTAAATATTCCACCAGTTTCTGTATCTTTAAGAACATGATAAGTATCTTGAAGGCCTTTAAATATCAAAGAAATACAGAAAAAAAAGATTTTGTTTTTAGAAAATCTTAAATATGAATCAGGATCAACAGCAGCTTCATCTTTTAATTTTAATTTGACTTTATCTGATACAGATCTTTTAATCGAGCTTAAAAGAAAATGAAATTGAATGGATATTTGATTGAAAATTACAGTCAGATTTGCCTAATACTATTGTAAATGATTGTCGACCAGATTTGATTTTTGCTTCTTCATCAGCTTTAGTTTGTTGTCGAATATGTGATAAAATTCCCCAACTGGATATTTTACATTTCTCCATAATTATTGATGAACGATCATTTTTTATTTTATTTAAAATTTCTTCCGAGACAACGTGAATATTTAATGTTTAAGCTTCTTGAAGTTTGTTACTCATTTTCTAAATTTCATCCTTTTATAAAAGAAAAAAAAAACAAATAAAGACATTCCAAATGCATATGAGTAATACCTTGAGAACTAATAACAATTCCAACAGTTTGATCAATTTTTGATGAAAATGTTCCACCTAATCATTCAAATTCTTTTTTGTATTGTTGCAACTGAACTTGATAAATGACCAGCTGATGATACAAGATAACCAGAAAGGGACAAATTTGGATCATATGCTGGTCTAAATTTAGTAATCATTCTCTTTCATTACTATAAAAGAAAAATAGCAAAGCTGAATGAGTATCGCAATATGCAAAATCATATTAGTTAGGTTATCCAGATACTTGCTTGTATTCACCTTGAATTTTTCAATAAAAATGAAGAACTTTCAATTTTTATGCCTCAATAGCAGCTGGATTGATAGGTTACATCTATGTAGATGACAATTTCTAAGTTCTAAAACTTGGTCTCATTGATTCCTCTATAGACCAAATTCCTACGCATTTTCTCTTTCTAACGATCCAAGTTTGATACAAGTTTTCTAATAACTGCCTTATTGAAAAATAAATACAATCTGAAATGTTTAGAACATATCAGAAAGACAAGGAAACTGAAGCAGAAAATTTCTCTAGAAATTTTCAACGAATAATATAGAAATGATCTCATCTTCGAATCAAAATTATATTTTAATGACAGATAAAAACAAAAGCGAAATTTACTGTTGTATAACTCGTGGAACATCAGGTGTTTCAGTAATAGTAGCTTGTTTTTCAACAACTTTTGCAAGAATTCGATCACGTTTTTTTATATTTGTATGATTTACTGAATAAAACAAAACAAATGCATGAAACTTTCAATAGAATAGAAAATATTTACAAATCATCANACTACCTTTCTATATTCGATCATGAAAAAGTCAAATACACAATTCTTCATTCTTTAAATAATTACTTTTTTGATCATAACAAATTTTTAAAAACTTGTAAAGGGGGGTCAAGCCTCCGTAGAGGGGGCTGAGCCCCCTCTAGCCCCCATCTGGTTATGCCACTAGAGAAAAGTGGGAAGAATCCTTAAATAGAATTCTGAAGAACAATCCCAAATTCCGAAAAATGCCGTCTGTCCCGCCTTGCAAAACATTTTGAAAATAAGACAGAACAAGACTAGCAGAATTCCTGACTTGAAAAAAAAAGATTTGTCTCGCAGGACTCCAGTCTTAAAATAACACGTCTGGTAAAAACAATTTGCTGTTTTCCACCTGTAACTTCTTATAGATAATAGTAAAAATAACATATATTATAGGTACATCATTTTATAATTAACTTTACACTACAATGTCGGTGTCCTAATTTCTTACATTCGTTTGTTTTCAATCGGATTTTATACATGTCTTAAATATTGAAGAATCGTATTTCAGTTATTATTACAGTTAGATATAAGTTTTTCTTTCTTGAAAATAATCATGAGAAATTTAACATAAGTTTAGATGTAAAAGAAAAAAAATATCTGACATAAGTTTGATAAAGTAGAAAGACTAGACAAGAATAATTGATCACATAAGAGAACATATGAAAACGACCACAAGCGCAAGAAAAAAGAAAAGAATACTATACAAAATAAATACATTCATAATCTATGACAGTCAAAATATATCGTCCCTTTTTATTTTAATCAAATGGCATTTCATCCTCCGATGGTAAATTTGACCAATCAATTTCAGCAAGACCAGCAGCTTTAAGATAAGCATTAGTTTTAGAAAAATGCTAGAAAATAAATATGTTTAAGTCTTACTGCATAAAAAAAAGCATTTCTTAAATTACCTTACAACCCATAAATCCATTATAAGCCGAAAATGGTGATGGATGAGCAGCTGTTAAAATATGATGGCGATTCTAAATATAATTATATTAAACATAAAACTTATTTCTATTGAAATGTATTATATTCAAAATTACTTTATCAATTCGTGCTCCTTTATTTTGAGCATCTCTACCCCAAAGTAAGAAAACAATATTAGCTGAACGATCATTAAGATATTGAATAATAGCATCCTGTAAAAAAAAATATAAAATTAAAAAAATTTTTTTTTTTTTTCGAAATTTTCTTACTGTAAATTTTTCCCATCCTTTTCCTTTATGTGAATTAGCTTTATTTTTTTCAACAGTTAAACAAGCATTGAGTAATAAAACTCCTTGTCTTGCCCAACCAGATAATGTACCATGATTTGGAATAACAAAATCTGGTATATCAGCTTTTAATTCTTTATACATATTTTGTAGACTAGAAAAAATAAATTCAAGATAAAAACATAGACAAATTCGTACAAAAGATGATTTTTTGTTTTCATTAAATACCTTGGTGGTGGTGGAATATTTTTTCGTACTGAAAAACATAGACCATGTGCTTGATTTGGTCCATGATATGGATCTTGTCCAAGAATAACAACTTTAACTTCACTTAATTCACACATTCGTGTAAATGTAAAAACATGATGTGGTGGTGGATAAATCGTAACACCTTTTTCTCGTTCATCAGCAATAAAATTTGCTAACTAATTAAAGAACAAAAAAACAAAGAAAGAAGCATTGTGTCATTTTTGTTTTCTTATGCATAATTGTAAAGATTAATATACCTTTTGAAAATATTCTTTAGAAAATTCTTTTTCAAATGCTTTATACCATGACACACCCATATCAACAACAAGTCCACGTGTTGTTTTAGCTTCAAGTTTTATTTTTGCTAAAATACGATTGCTTTCTACACGTTCAGCTAAACGTTTTTCTTCTTCAGTTTTTGGTACATTAGGTGAATTAACATTGGACTTTGGTTGAGACATTCGTAAAGGTGATGCTACTGGTGTATTGGATGCTGTTTTAATTCGTTTTGGTGTAGTAGCAGCAGGCTTTAAAAAAAAAGAAGAAATAACCAATCATTATTCAATATTACGTGAAGATGAAAAGTTTTGAAAGGCAATATTATTTTCTTAAAGGTAACAGCTAGAATAAATCAATGAAGAAAATTGAGTAGCTAATACAATTTTCTATCAGGAGACGTACGTGTCTAATTCTTATTAACAAGTTTCGATGAAAGTTCCCTGAAAGACTAAGACTCGAAATCTTAGTTTCTTGGATTCTATTTAAAAAGTTATGAAAACAAGTTCATCGAATACAGAAAATATTTCTGAACACATTCTAAGAAAAATTTCAAAGTATAAAACGCAGTTATTTCACTAAAGTTTTCATAAGACTTCTAGACCTATTGTATAATGATTGCCGCTCGTTAAAAATAGGTCATGAAGAGCTTGAGGAACTTTATTCAGTTCAGAAATGTTTTCTAGATTAGGTAAACTTATTTGCAAAATGCTTGGGATAGAATCGAGAAATTTGACTTTGATAAGCCTTCGTGTCCGATGGATCTTTCATATAAACCTGTTAATGTGAATATGACAAGCACATGTCTTAAAAGGTAAACTGTTTCAGTAAATAAAATCTTTTTCTAAAGTCAATTTAAGCTGTTACCATTAGGAAAAATACTTCGTAGCTAAACTTTTTTGCCTCCATCTAAGGTTTAAAAACTACATAACAATCAAAACTTTTTTTGTTTAGGGAAAGATTTTAACAGTAGTTAAAAGTTGCCAAAATTCAAAACAAATATTTTCGAGCTGAACTTTGACTGATAAGTATGTTTGATAGTCCTGAAAATAAACTTGTCTTTCTCAAGATATTTGTTTTTTGAAATAGACTTAATGGCTATAATCCGCTACAGTAAACTGCTGTTCGTTTTTTAGATTTCAAATATCTAGAGAATGACTATCGAACGCACCTATAAATAAAATTTCAACTCGAAACTCTTCATTCTCGATTTTTCCGAAAGGTCTGGACCTCAATAAAAAATCTACTAAAACAGTCCTAACTCTTCATCATTCGGTCATGCATCCCAATCGCTTGAAGCTTTCTTAGTCTTACAGAGATCTGCTCATAGCCATAATATGAAGTCGAACAGCGTCCTACGTTTAATTATGTTCCTTGATAAGCCAAAAAGTCGAACTTGAGTTACCAGGGATCCGTAGGATAATTTCAGGCTTTAGCGCATATCCATACAATGTTGTGCCATCACAGAATTCTAGATAGACTGGAAGAAACAATTTCATACTTTCGAAACGTGCGGGTCTATGAATCCGACTACAAGTTCTTCCATACCATCCCAAAAGCAAACAAAAATTTTCGTAATTAAACCGATCTGAAGTTCATGTTTTTTTTTTCCTAAGAAACATTAGAATGATTTCCAACGTTGAACAGTTGATTTATTTAAGACTGATATATTTACCTCCTTTACATCATCATTTTCGTCTACATCCGATATTTCACGTTTTTTTTTAAAGAAAAATGTAATTGATTTTTGTTGAGCCATTCTTCTTTATCTATCTAGAAGAGTTGATGATAGAAAAACAACGTTTGTTTGTTTGTTTTTTTTTTTCGTTTGTAAAAAGTGTTTTATTTTTATCTTTATTTATTCCGTAAAACATAACAATAAACAATAGAAAACAAAGACTATCGTCGATCTGTTTTGCCAGTTGATCGTTTGCCGGAAACTATAAAAAGAAAGAAAAATAAATATAAAAATTTTTAATTATTATAAAATTCATAACTTACATAAATGTTTGGGTTTTTTAATAAATATTCTTCTATCGGCTTCTCCAGTTTTAGCACCCAAATTCATTTTACGTTGACTAACTTTATTGATTTTTCTTGCTTTCTTAGCCATTGTTACATCTCGTACACCAGATTTATCACGAGGTACTTTTGAACTACTACGTACATTTCCTTCCGAATCTTCACGTTTACGTTTTACTTCAGGTCGACTTAATGAACGACTACGTGTTTCATGCATTTTAGCAACATAATGTGACTGAAAGAAAAAAACAAAAGATTCAATTAAAAAATAAAAGATAGAGTCACCCTTAATTTTCCTTCAATTATGTACTACCTAATGCCAAGTTTTCAGGTTAAAAAATAAGCCTATTTTTGAACAATGAAAAGATGTTCTAAGCTTGTCAAATATTATAAGAAGATAGATAAACAATAAAAGTTGTGTTTTGGTTAAATTCATTTTTTTTTGGCTGAATCCTGAGGGGGAGTTCAGCTAAATTTGTCGAGAAAAATCTTCGAAATACATATCAGTCGACTAAATTTTCGGCGCTGACTTCAAACATGTTATTAGTTTTCATTAAAATTGTAGTTTTGTCTCCATTACCGACGTCTTAGCAATGCATCCCTCTTCCGTCACAGACTAGATATCATGTCTCAAAGATATATGCGTAAATCATTTAGTTATCGTACAAAAGTGAATATTCTTGTTTTGAGCAAAACGAATGTTTAGACTCTTCAAAAATCACTTTATTTTATTACTAAACGATTCGATATCGAAATTCCACATTAGATAATTTATGATTGGAGGAATATTAAAGATAGTTCAACAATGATTCTAATGTCCTCTGGCCCTCTCTCTCTCTACCCATTCTTTAATCATATAAAAAGAAAATATATTTCTTACATCTTCTTTATTATCCATATCAATTCCTAATTCATCCATTGTATTTTCTAAATGTTCTCGAGCAACAGTTCGTTTTGGTCTTGGTACAGATGGTGTTCTTCTAGCTTGTTTTTTCGATCGTGCTTCACCAATAATAACTTGACGTTTATAACGAATTTTTTTTGCTAATTTTCTAATAGCTGTTGTTTCTTCGTCATCTTCACTTTCATCCATATCATAAAATCCTGCTTCATCACGTGCTTCTTCTTCACGTTCTAAATCTTCTAATTTTGTCATTATATCTGGATCAATAAAATCAGCAACATTTTTATTACGATATATTTCAGGTAAAAT